TCTTACCATTTTACGCAGTAAGAGCCTTTCGATTCGGGCCTGGGCTGGTAGCAAACGTGGCAGGCCACTTTGAAAAGGCGCAGCTGCAGGCTCGTGAGCCTTGGAAGGAAGCTTCTTCAACTTAGGCTCGTATGAACTGATGGTTTAAGCATGGTACTCTGTATCCATATCCTTGTGAAGTGTGGCACTGCATGTCCTTACCATTGGTCTGTGAGATCATCACTTTCACCCCAACGCACCTAGCCCATCGGTTAAGTGTCTGCTCTGTGAAAACAAAGTCATTATGGGTTGAGCTTCATGTTTGTGCCATCTTCAAATCTGATGCTTTATGTCCTTGTCTCTGCCAAGTCTGCGACTTGATATCCTGAGCCCTGTCAAGTCTGCCACTTAAGTACTTCGTGTATGCCAAGTCTTCTACTCTGTGTTATTATCGCTATGAGGTCTGTGACACTATGTGCCTATCCCTGCCACATTTGCTGCTTTGTCCAGACCACAAGTAGCCAACTTGATTGCAGTGCCAAGGAAGAGGCAAATCAGAGATGGGGATCCGTACCTTGTTTCTGCCCTCATTCGCAGCTGCCTTTCCTCTGACAGATGATGCTCTAGCACTGCTGCACGTTCATCAATTGCTGCTCGCTGGAAATCATCCATCATGGCATCATCATGATTCAATCAGGCAACTGATGGGGTTAGATCCTCTTCGGATTCTTTTGGCAATGAGGATTCCTTATATTCGAGGGAAAAGGAGAAGAAAAGGACAGCTGTTCACATGAGAATTCCTTCCATTTGAGGGAAAAGAAGAAGAAAAGAACAGAGTGCACATGTGACACTAGAGCATCACACAGTGACAGACTGGCACTAAGAAGAGGCGAATCCACAAGGCGTTACCATGGTAGTCGGGTGCAACTGTTTTCAAATGTATGGATAACTGCACGATGTGCAAAACATGATGAAATGAATTGTGAGAATGTGACCAGTTCACTCACAGAGTATTCATGAGACTAGAAAGTAAGGATACGTAGGTGAAAGAAAGCCGGCGGGATGAACTTCTCGAAATGACAGGGACAAAAAGGTTTCGTTACGCTTGGGATGGTGTGCGGGGTATTCAGGTTCTGTGTGCAGTGATAGGGAGTTGTGAACTTTCTCTGGCAAACAGTGGTAGGATTTTGAAGTGGTAGGAATTTGAGGCTGGTCAAGGGTAAGGGTGGTTGATACGGGGAATTGATAAACATGAAGGACAGAACAACAGGAGTAGGTGGGTCTTACTGGATGGATGCGGTTTTGTGAGCCCCGGAGACTGGTGAGCTGTCCAGGAGACCGAGGCGGCCCCCCGTGGCCCGCATAATGTGTGACTGGGTACATAGCTCTGTTTCCCGGCCATTATGCGTGCCCGGGGAGAGGGTTAGCGCAGCCCCCATGGAGTATCTCCCCAGCCCCCCCCGCAGAGTGACTCAGGCAGCGGGGGATAGGGCTGCAACTCCACTTCTTTTCTTCGAACTCTCAAACTCTACCAGTTGTAAGGGACGCTGGACCCGGTTTCCAGCAGGTGAAGCTTCCCACCAATAGATTGGAGCCATCCACAGGCCTGCTAGGGGTGCCTGCCTGTATCAGCTCCCCTAGCAGACCGGTGACTGTATGTTCGGGGGAAAAAAAAGAGTTCGTTACTTTCAACAGTTCTGGTCCGCAAGACAGGTACACACTGCTGTACAGACCTGAGAGGACAGGTTTTCTCCACTTCATCTGGATCGCGATTACCACCACCTTTTGTCCATATTTTTGGATCAGTAATGCATACAGGACTATTCTCCGCCAGTGCAGCCCGAAGGTTTCTTGGGCTGGTACCAGCCTCTCTGGAATGTTTCTCAACTTAGCGTGATCGGAACACGACCCTGGCACAATATGAGATCCACATCTGCACTCTGAAGTTTGAACCAATTGCTAAGCTGTGCCCAGCTCCTGTCTTTGATCGGCAAAGTATTCTGAGATCTTGGCTTATTCTTTTCTGAAGGGAGAAGTAGACCACCTTTTCTCTAGCCCTCAATCCCTCCGCCGCCCCCCCCTTTATCTACTCCCTCACTGGCGGATCTCCTTCTGCTAGGATGATACCGCTCCATATTTTTTCCTCACCTTTTCCTCAACTTTTTTATCCCCTCCCCTCCTTTTCTTTTTTTTTTTTTTTTTTTTTTTTTTTCAAACAACACCCGCCCCTTCTATTCTGGGGGGCATCAGTCCGGTTGCTTATCACCGGCAAGCATGAGTACAAGAAAGAAGTAAAGAAGGTTCAGCCAGACCCTTGCAGTACGAGTAACCTGTTAAAGGGGGGGGCTGCTAGGAGCCAACCCCCCCCCGAACCATGGCCTCTCCTAGGGAGCTTCTGCTGGCCGGGAAGCGTACTGGCAGCACCCAGTCATGCAGCAGAAGGGCCTTAGGGGGCGAGTTGCGGGGGAGGCCCTCCTAGCAGCCTCTCAGGGCACAAATCCCCAAACTTGCTTGTTGCAATCAGACTCGACTTATTCACACTTCTCATGCACGTGAACAGCAGAATAGCAAACTGGCGCAAATGCGTCCACACAGAACTCAGAGATATGGCTTCCAAGTAACAGTTCGCTTCCACTGGCTATGGCGACTGTGCGCCTCACACAAACTCACTGTTCACACTCTGGATCACCCTGGATGTCCCACACGCGATACTCAGTATACACACGCAGTACACACACTCTTCCCCTATACTACAGCTATGGCGGCTATGGCCGCCGCTACCCTACTGCTATGGCTACAGTGCGTCACTCTCGCCCACTTCGTCTTCGGGCCTTCTGCAGACCTCCTCGCACAAGCTGCTGAGGCAGCGCTTCCGCATGGCTTCCGCAGGAATGAATAATGGCTGGACGCAGCCTCTTGATTTATACTTCTGCGCTGCGTTGGTCTGCCCTATGTCCCTTGGCCCCTGGTGCACACAGTCCCAGACGGTACTTGCTGGACAGGACCGGACTGYCTAACWGGGACTGTTGACTCAGCRAGGTGGCCTACCACCACTTGACCACTTGCCTCTRTTCAACGCAGGYTCACTCCGAAASSCCACTTCTAGAAACCTCTAACTTGGCCTTTCGGTACTGTAGCAGCTATGACTTTGCCCCTTCAGGTAAGTAGCAGCTACGACCTTGACCCTTCAGACATCCTACAACTACGACTTCGGAACTGTCTAGACTCCTACCCTACAGGTCTACAGTTTGATTCCCTTCTACCCTGTGACCTACGAAAACCTACCCACCACTGGCGGTCCTACAGGTCGCAGGTTCAAATCTACGGGTTGACACTGGTACTGTACACAGGTAAGACGGGGAACTAGGGATCGAGCCCTGGGATCTGCATTCGCTACTGCGAACTGGTGAATACCGTTTCACTCCCGCCGGCCTAAATTCGAGGTCCTCCGATAAAATTTCAGTCCAAGGCAGGACCTTTACCCCTTTGCTGTCTCTCGTAGGCCCGGACTATATCGGGAACTGTCTCTAGAAGTTCAGATCTTGTAAAGCAGCGGTCGTCTTCCGGTTCTTGATAACTGAAATGAACCTTGTACTGTTTCTGCAGACGACCCCTACCTCCAGTTCTGAAGACATCTTCAGCCACTATACCATCGATGTCATATCTCCCATCCATATCCGGTGGGATCATTGATCTATGGGATGGAAACTGATCACTTGTCTGACAAGGTAACAACTTCGATGCATGGAAAACTGGGTAAGTGTGGAGGTGTGCTGGAAGTTCTATGGTATAGGACGATCCATCTTCGCCGCCCTTGACTTCTAGAACGGGCCACGGTCCTCTATATGTGGGCAGTAACTTCTGCGAGATGTTCTCCTCAGGTGCAAACTCCTTAGAACTGACATAAACTAAGTCGCCTACTTGAAACTGTGAGGGGCGACGATGTTTGTTCGCTTGTTCTATCATCCTATGCTGGGCTTTCCTGAGGTTCTCTACAACAGTAGCTAGTTCTTTCTCGTGCTGTACAGCAAACTCCCTGGTCCCGGGCGGCAATCTATGAATCTGATCCCGGTTGAGTCCTTCAAATGGTCTACGGGGCCTAAAGGACTTGTGCAATTCGTTGGGAGTGCGGCAAGTAGACAGATGCACGTTGTTATTGTACGCACTAGCTACTTTAGGCAGCATCTCATCCTAGTTAATCTGATCTGGCTGAATGTACATGCGCAGAACTTGCTGTAGGATCTTGTTCATTTGCTCGGTCTGACCGTTAGTCTCTGGATGGCGGCCAGACGACATCAACAACTTAGATCTGTATACTCCCATGAGTTATTGCCAGTTCTGGCTAGTAAAGCGACTATCTCTATCGCTAACTATAGACAGTGGGATTCCATTCTCACTCACCCAACAGTCAAAAAACCTCTGTAGCACGTGCCTCTGAAGGCAAAGGGATAAAAACTGCGTACTTACTAAAACGGTCAACTATGACCATGACTTGGCTCTTGCCATGCCTACTCTTGACTTGAGTGTCCATGAAGTCTATGGACATTGAGTCTCTCGGCTGATCCGGAATGGGCAAGGGTCTGAGAAGACCTAGCGGGGCGCGCGTAGAACTCTTGTTGCGTTGCCAACCGAAATGACCCTCTGTGTCGTGGCATTCCCCCCAAATCAAACTACGGATCTCTTCGCTATTGGGGATGCACAGCCGGTCGAAAACATTAGTCTTCTCAAACAGCAACCCCTCAGTAGTGCGGTAGTTCAGTTCAGTCTCTGGGACCTCCTTGACCTTCTTGAGGAGGTCACTGTAAATTGGGTCCTTCGCGTAGGCTTCTCTAACCTTCTGCTGCAGATCCTTCCCTATGTTGAGGTAATGTACTATTGCCCCAAAGTAATCACCTCTTCTACTCAGAGAATCCGCGACTACGTTGTACTTCCCTTTTACAGGCTTGAGCTCGAAGTCGTACTGATCTATCTCTGCGGCCCACCTAGTAAGCTTAGGTGTCATCTTGGCCTGCGTCTTTAACCATCGTAACGTNGCTTGAGCTCGAAGTCGTACTGATCTATCTCTGCGGCCCACCTAGTAAGCTTAGGTGTCATCTTGGCCTGCGTCTTTAACCATCGTAACGTTTCATGGTCGGAATCGACTTTGAAGTGCCTCCCAAGCAAGTAGTGCTTCCAATGGTCTAAGGCTTGCCTGAGAGCGTAGAGTTCCCTCTCATAGGTAGACGCCGCGACCTTCTCTGAAGGCATTCTGGCGGACATGAACTCTACGGGTCTATACCCATTGCCATCGTCTTGCTGTAACACTGCGCCTATGTCGTATTGACTCGCATCGGTCGTGACGACAAAGGGCAAGGACGGATCGGCGACTTTAAGGACTGGATACTCTACCAATGCCTGTTTTAACTTCTTCATGGCAGACGTGCAGTCCTTATCCCACTTCCAGATGGTCTCCTTTCTCAACAATCTGCGAAGGGGCGCAGCGATGGTAGAGAAGTTCCTCACGAACTTCCGGTAGTAATTAGCTAAGCCCAGGAACGAGCGCAACTCTGTCAGCGTACGTGGCGTGGGCCAATCTCTAATCGTTGCGATCTTGCTATCCTCTGGCTTAATGCCGTCTCCGTCTAAAACGTGGCCTAAGTACAAAACTTGGGTTTTCGCCCAATCGCACTTCTTTGCATTGTCTTGAAGTTAGCTTCCCTCAGCTTCTCCAAGACCTGCCTGAGATGACCCTGATGCTCTTCGAGGGTCCTGCTAAACACTAGAATGTCATCTAGGTAAACTACAACAAATCTGTCTAACCACGACCTAAACAAATCGTTCATACAGCGCTGGAATGTGGCTGGCGCATTGGTTAGTCCAAAGGGCATTACTATGAACTCGTAGTGCCCATATCTGGTCCGGAAGGCTGTCTTATACTGATCATCAGGATGCACTTCTATCTGATGATATCCGAACTTCAAATCTATCTTGGAAAAATACTTCGCCCCCTGCACTCGATCTAAGAGATCGTCTATCCTAGGCAGTGGCTCAACATTCTTTAGTGTAATAGCATTCAGACCCCTATAGTCTATGCACATCCTCAACTCTCCCTCTTTCTTAGGAACAAAGAGAACAGGCGCTCCAAAAGGAGACGAACAGGGCCTAATCCAACCCTT